ATGAAAAATGCTTTTTTAACATTTCATTTTTATGCCCCTGGCTTTAGCCAAGAAATCTTGCGATAGTGTATTGCTTCTGTGTGTCCGTTTGTATGAATATTCCATTTTGGTTAGGTTAACTGTTTAGTTCTGTCATATAAAGTCAGACTTCTATCTCAACCGAACTTGGTGACAATAATCTTTGGGTAGGGGGGGGGGGAATTCAGATCACTTGAGACATTGAAGGTCATCTAGAGATCAAAATGAGGTCATTGTTGTTTTTGGTTTGTTTAACTGAAAAGTGCTGTCATATGAGAAGTCAGACTTCAATCTCTACCAAACTTGGTGACAATAATCTTGTGGGCTATAACGTTGTTCTTAAGAGCTTGACTGGCACAGTCAGCCGTTGATCGATCACAATCATGTTGGTGGCGTGTTTCTGTCGGGCTATGTACTGTGCAATCAACAGGTCCTTTTTACTGTTTCCCCTCCCCCTGCAGTTGCCCCGCCCCTGCCGATAACGATGACTAAAGAGTGGCAGCAGGACCAGATGAAGTACAACATCGCCATCCGCAATAACCCAGTCACTGGCCTTGCGTCCAAATGGGACTACGAAAAGAACGACTGGAAGAAGTGATGACAGGAGAATCCCAGGAAGAATAAGTTTCAATTTAGGTACAATTACTGTCCAGATATGAGCGGATTTTATATAGGGCATCCTGGTTGTAATGTGTTGAATGTTTAGAACAGATTTTAGAACACGTCATTTTTCGTAATTAATTTGAATAGATTTGGAAAAAGACTTGTGCTTTCATATCCTCTAAAATCACTATGAAATCAACTGTGATGACATTAACGAATATGAAACAAAATTTACAAATGTAAACTGGGTTTTTGTTTGGCCTACTACAGTGTACCTTGAATGTGAGATGCTACTCGTGTGGATATTAAACTATGTAGGGATGCAAAGTTCATTTCAAACTCCGAGTATAAAACCGTGTTTTTGCATCTTGTAATACACCTGTCACCCCAAAACATATTTAACTGTTTTGTACATGCATTTAGCACTGGAATCTTATCCCGCGAATGGAGCACAGAATAAAGTAGTGCGTCAGTGTGTGGGACACAGACGCGCTACATTTTCCGTGTTCCACGAGCGAGAGTGGAAAAGCGAATTTATCTTCAAGCAAACTTGACGCACTGTAAAGTTGGAACGAGCACGCTTTACACGAGCATGCTTTTCAGCGGTTATACTACACGTGCGTGCAGCAAGAATGGTATGCACATCTTGGAATAGCATGATAAGCTGTGGACCGTGGTATATGGGATAATGTAGCATGGGGGGTTGTCATGGATTGATCAGGAACAAGGATTCAAGTTAGCTTGAAGATGAAATTCATTGCCACCACTTCATAACAAAATGACAATTCTCTTACCAAATCTTTCATTTTTTTGAGAAAGGATGCATGCTTTGATTTTAGGGCAACTGACTGCAGAGATTAAACCTTATTTGATCCATCCTGAACACAATACACTTTTAACCACTTAACTTTATTTACGTGTGCAGTGTTCGATACATAATAAAATGTTTTCGTTTGTTCAAAAACTTACATTTTTGATGTTTTTCTTTAATAAGTGAAGTGTCTTGGCTTGAAAATGAATCTTGTTAAACACAATATATTAATTAAGCGTAACCTTCCCAATTCCTCCAAAATCCTATTTTGGAGGATGCACTGTGTCAAGACATTGGGCCGGACCTTGTTGTATATGCTGAGCCATGCATAAATTTAGGCCTAAATTATGCTTGAAATCCTCTGCACTGCTCCAGGATGTCACCGGCTCTACCTCAACACATTGAGTTGACAGTGATTGCTGAAAGATTTTGCAGGATTGAGGCTTTGCAATTGATACATGGAGGCAGTTGGAAGATTTGCAGGGTTGAGGTTGCATCCGAGGAAGTGAAGCCCGGTTCATGCGAATTTTAGGGCGTGAAAATTTGCCCCGACGTCACAAATTCGCATCCCCATTTGCTTTTGCGTGGAGTATGACCCGGGCATTAGGATTTACAAGCTGATTTACCCGATCATAGATCGGGTAGGGCGTTGTGTTGGGGATGAAAAATGTGGGGAGTTAAATGTAAATGGGGGATATAGTTGAGGACATGCAGTTATAGAAAAGCAATTTCTGTGGTGTGATCTGAGGCAAATTCTGACCACTAAAATCAATTTCAGCGAAAATCATCTTTTAAAGTTTTGAGTTTGGAGTAATTGAATCAGCTACATGTATTCTGAGCAGTAGATCATTATTGTAGGCTACAATTTTTATTCGGGGAAGAAAAAGTGGGGGAAGGGGGGCCAAACAATGTCCCCTGCTTGAAAAATGTGTGTGGGGGGAGGGTCCCCGTCCCCCGTCGATTTATGCACATGATAATTATGTACCATGGCAACTGTCTGTAAATGTTCCCGTTGGTCTGTTAAATTGGCATTTTGTGAGGCAGTCGCATTTGGAAAACGTAGTGAAAAGGTTACCGTAGTACACAGGCGAAGCCTGATTGTACAGTTTTGACAATAAATCATAATGCAATAAAACGTGAAGGTGTCATTTGAAATGAAAATTTTGAGTGTTACCATAAAATTACAAAGTCTGAATCGTGGAGGAAGGTCATAATTAACTTTCAGTATTGGACTCTTCAACAAACGTAAACTTGAATTTCTTACAATTTGCGAGACCGTCTGCGAGGAAAAATTCGATTCAACTTTTATTCAAGTTGGTTCAACCATCTGTATGAGAGCAAGTTTTACTCGACCTTTTCTAGTCTGAGAAATGTTTGCTCCTGAAAGGATCCGAGACCGCGGTCTCCCGCGACGCCAAAATGGCTCCACGTCCATGGAAAAATGTGGAGGGTGTCTTCCGCCGGGTCGGACACTTTTTCGTCGATTTTTTTGTGACTGCGTTTAAGATCGCGATATTAATTGTTGAAGCAATGCATCGATCCTTCGTTGATCCCAAACAGGCCCCCGAAATTATCAACGCGACACTGAATTATACGTGGCGGGCAGCGAACTCACAACGCTCAGCCTTGGTGGTGGAAGCATGAAGCTATAAACACGCACATGCTGGAAGCAACAGATCACTATATCACGTCACACGCTTGTGCTTCAAATAGCAAGCACTGTAGACCCAACCTCGTTTCCAGGGTGTTGAGCAGGCTGCAGTACGCGTTGCCATCGACGGTTTTACGCATAGCCCGGAAGTACTACGCAGTGTAGACTTTCAATTGGTCAGACCGCGCAAGGCGTACTAATGTGTAGTCCTTCTGAGTATTCGTTGCACTCGGCGCAGGGGCAGCAAGCAAAGCATAGGAAACAGTAGGGACACTTGATGGCCACGCACCATGGAGAAAAAATATTTTGCCAAGGTCACCCCATGCTACCGTTTGGTGAACACTTTTGCAGAACAGCCAAGTAGAACACGTAAACGCAACCCCTAAGTCGAAGCCGCTGACCTCGCACAGTCTAGACACGCAGAAAAGCCAGCACAGGGGGCGGCCAGGCAGTCAACGTGAAAGCGCACACGACGGCAAATTCCTGCGCAAAAACGCAGTCACGAAAAATCGACGAAACGGATCGCCGGTCCGTACGGGAAAATCAGGACGACCCTCCGCATTTTTCCACGGACGTGGAGCGATTTTGGTAATTATTTCATCTAAAAGTAGCTTATGAAATTGGCTTTCCAGTCATTATGATGTTTGGTGCTACATATTTTTTTAAATATGAAATATAATTTTTGGGGTTTGGGTTCCGCTTTTTTTTTTTACCAAGGGCGGATCTGGGGGGGGGGGGGCAAAGGGGGCCATGGCCCCCCCCAAAACGAAACCAATTTTTTTTTTTAAAGTGACATCGCAATAAAGGCAGGCAATGAGTACACCACCATCTTTTCCTCAAAATAAATTGGTTAAAGTGGTCAGAAATTGCCTCAGATCGCACCACAGAGCATCTAGAATCCCAACATTTTTCGGGGCCCCGAACCCCACGCCGTAATTTTTTTAGACCCACTTTTTTGGGGGACGATTTTTTTTTTGCCCCCCCCCCCAAATTGTGTTCTGGATCCGCCCTTGTTTTTGACTCGCCCTGTAGGATTCCTTTTAAAGATATAGTCCATCATTTGTAATTTGTACATTTTGTTCGTTTGAAGCAACAAAAGTGTTCAAAATCTAATGAAGGATACTGAACAACTAACCTGATGAAGTTTCAGCTCAGCTTCAGCTGTATATTCCGAGAAAAACAGCAATTCAGCGTCCGAGATGCGTTCTCACCGAGCCGATTGCAGCTACGCGATGTTGTGCGCCGATCCGACGAATTATAGCAACTGCGCGCACGTGTGCGTCGTGCCATTGCTTGCGCTTTGCCGAATAAGAAAACAAACTACTAATTTAAATTTTCCTACGGTGTCTTAAGACGCACCGTTGGAAAGGTCTTCTTTCGTTGATTACTTAAAAATGACAGCTAGCCAGAAAGAATAATTTCACAGGGAGTTTAGTCCACTTACTATCTTTCAACCAAGTATGTTTTTCAGCAATAATTACGCGTGTTACTTTTCGGATGGCCATGGGCGTCGCGAGGGGGGGCAAGGGGGGGCACTTGCCCCCCCCCCCTGGAAAAGCAAAAAAAAAAGAAAAAAAAAAGAAAAAAAGGAAGAAAAAAAGAAAAGAAAAAAGAAAACAGAAAAAGAGGCGCGAAGACAAAGTGGTGTAAATTTAATGAGTTGGGGGGGGGGGCAAAATGTCCCCGCTCCCCTCTAAAACTGATAAATCGAAAATGTGTCGAGAAATACAAGCATTTTTTGGCAAAATTTTTTTGCCCCCTCTAGAAAAAATCCTGGCGACGCCCATGCGGATGGCTGCAAATGATGGACTATAGCTTTAATAGAAAAGTTGAAAGAAACGAAATCCCAACCATTTGACCAAGGAATTAATAGATGTATGAATACTACAAACCCAAAAATACCACTTCGACAACTTGTGAATTTTCCATGATAGCATTTCTTATTAAAAAGGTTTTCTTTGAAATATTTACATGTGAACCAAGCAATTTACAAAGATTATAGACAGAAGTTCTTAACAGAGTAATGTATAGTTGGTGGATTATATATTTGACTGGATGTTATTTCTCTATCTCGCATGCTATCCCAAAAGCATGAGAAATGGAATAATGTGAAACTGTGTCAAGTACAACTAGGAAATTGTTTAAAATGTATTGTCTGTGCTATTTTTAGTTCCACCCAAAAATTGATCTTTTCTTTCAATTGCTATTTTTTAGCAAACATTTTTTTTGCGGCTGACAATAATTCTGTTCTTGCAGGGTAGTCTCAGTCTGTTCCCCCTCTCCATTGAAACCAACTTGTAACTTGTCTGCTTATCTGTTTTGTGTGCCACAAAGATCTCAAAAATAGGGGACAAAATCACAGTGTTAGTTGTAAATTCATTAGAATTAAAAAACAAATATGAATTTGTTGAAGAGCACAGACAGTACATCTTTAAATACTGACTTTCAAATCTAAAAAATTAAAAGGCAACCTCATGGTATATATACACATATACATAATACATAAAACTTGAATCCCTTCCTAAAAGGTCACCTTCATGATAAAACATGCAAATAGGGCATCTGAAAGTGAACCATCAAACTCCAGAACCAATTTTGCAGTACTTTTTAGGGCTTTAGCCTGATTACTGCATGACAGACTACAGGTACAGTATTAATTAACCCATTAGTGAATTACATTGTGTTTATTCACTGAAGAATCCTTGGAGTGCTCGGGCGGTTTCATGCATTACAGTAAGTAATAGGCGGGGCGGTTTCGGGCGCCACAGTGACTAAAGGGTTAACCCACTGTTTGCCAAGATCTTTTTGGACCTTTTGCACAAGTTTATATGGTATTTCAATGGACCCTTCCTGCCTGTTAATCAAACAGTGACCACTGACCAATTAGATCACGACTTGGTCAGGTGTTTTCATTAGCTCGGTCAAACTTGGTAGCAAGCCAAAAGTGGGCAGGGCTTACGGTTCACTATGCACGCTTTGTGGATAATTACGCTGAAGGTGGACTTCTTCTGTTCAGTCTGTGGACTTGCACATGTGTTACTGGAGACGGAACCAAATCAGTTCTCCATGGCCAATGTATGCCAGTCCAGCAAGAATCAAGTGTCTATCTGTAGAGTGCAGTGCCTTAGATTGGAAGCCACTGTTGGGTTGGGATATCTAGAACTACGTCCATATCTGGTGTGCACCTGAACAAGAAGAAAAAGAAGACAAACGTGTGAAAATCAAAAGGTTTTTAAAAATGTGTAACAAATATTTGAAATGACAAATCAAGAATGGATTTTTTTTGTTCTAAACAGTAAAAAAAATATTCATTCTTCTAGGATGGTGCTGCGCATGGTCTATACATGTCGCTAGTTACTTTGCAGCTGTCTCCAAGTCCTTGCTAGTCTGTCACTTGTCGTTCAGTCTCAAGTCAACTGTCAAGCTATTCAAATTTAAACCGTGACAAGAAGTTTGTATTGTGATTATTAATACAGGGTGACCCAAAAAAATGCAACCCTAAAAACGTTTGCCTTTAAAACAAAAAGGGATTGGTGGATTTTTATGTTTTGGGTATCAGGTTAAAGCTGAGAGCTTTTTCTTTTAAATACTGAAAACAAATCATGAAAATTGCACCTTGGGTTGCTGGGAAAATGTCAATTATTTCAAAGTAGTCATTTTTTATCCTGTACACAAGTACTTCAAACAGTGAAACATTTTACTGTCAGCCTACTATGCAATTATCCTTCATTTGTGCAATTTCTTTAATATTTTGACATATTTATGATGCTGAAAAGGTTTAAAGGAAAGATACAACATTTGCAAACATCAAAACACGAAATGATCAAATTATCACGAAATACCTTACTGAATTGTTAGGGACTGACATTCTAAAGCATCCTTTAAAATCGTGGCTCCTGGTGTGCTGACATTTTGAAGAAAAACTGTATTTTTCCAACGCTGGTCGGCCGACCAGCGTTGGAGAAAACTGTTTTTTTTCCCCAACAACTGTTCCTAATTTTTCATATTTAGTTATTCTGACTTTTCTTTGCAATTGAATACACTCCTATGAAGGGGTACAAGCCTGCTAGACTGATTCTTTGACCTTACAATTCCCCAAAGTGAATTACTTGCTCCGTTTCATCTTAAGTGGGGTCAGGGAACCAGACTACAAGAACATGATCGGTTTTCTTGGTTTTTCCAGCATCTACAAGCCCAAAACGTGAAACAAGTCAGTTTAACAATATTTTCTCTAACATACTAATCCTCCAAATCCATTTGTTTCTGAAAATTCCAGCAAAAGCAAATGATGTACATTCCCTTTAAAACAGGACTAAAAAGGATGCGATACCTGTTCAGGTGGCAAATAAAAGGTATTTCCATCAAATTCATATGTAATCTTGTCATATTATGTGCCGTGTTGTTTGTAAGGATTATGACATGCACAAATTTAGGTACAGTGAAAATCCCTCACTGTGGTAATTGTTTGTGTACAGGATGAAAAATACTACTTTTACATAATTGGCATTTCTCAACAACCCAAAGTGCTATTTACATGATTTGTTCAATATTTGAAACATAAAAATCCACTGATCCTGTTGTTTTTAAAAGGCAAATGTTTTAGGGTTGCATTTTATTTGGGTCGCCCTATATACGACTTGATGCTTTTCATGGCGGATGAGATAAAGTGGAAAGATTGCAGGTAACACCATGTGGAAAGTAATCTCTTCTTGGAAGAAGTGTGGTTCTGAAACGAACCAGTTGGTTGAGTGTAGAACTCGACGTTTTGGACAGTGTGCTCCGTCCATCCTTAGAAAGGTGAGTGATTGTTGTGTAACCCAGACCTCATTAAGGTCTTAGGTTTCTATGTTTTATATTGACTAGGTGAACGTATTCTTTTGTATTATTCATATTTCCTATTTTCTCCTAAATATTTCCTGGTTTGCCAATGATGACTGTCTGTATAGGTCATTGGCCCAAGCTGTGTTTAGCTGTTTTCACTATGAGTTACACCCATGGTTGAGTGAGCCAAGGTGACTCAGTGGTGAAATAAACACCAAGAGTTTACCTGCACAATAGAGGTGTGATTTCCTTTCTGCTCTTCTAAACTGTGACATCCTTTCCTTCTTAAGATTTACAACCTCCTTCTGAGAAGTTTGGATTAAGGAAGTGGGAGGATCTGGCACCTCTGCTTACCCTCCATCACCTAATTTCTCCTCTGAGATGCCCAATCAGGGAACCACCTGTTTGTGGTAGTAACAGTCTGTCCAAATTTTGGGACATGTGGCATTCCGAACCCTGCCATCGTACTGCAAACAACTGATCATTTGAACTGCTCGTCAGCACATTTCCACTGCTTTGTGCAAGAATCTGCAAACGAATGATTCTACAAACGACTTGACTTGTAGATTTCCACGATATTCGAATGTTGGCTCTCTTTTAGCATCAGAATACTGGGCTGCATTGGTTCCGAGGAGGACTAGACTGGCCATCTAGACGTTCCTGATCCGCCGTCCAAGCATCCCAAAGAGGACTCCAGTATCCCCAGAGATCCACCCGCTACTGCTGAACTCAAGATCCACTACTGCCTCCGGCGCACAGGACAAGCATCCCTTCCGTGACGTCCGAGAACAAAAGTAGTCACCGTAACCCCGCCACAAGTACACCGTTACACCGTAACCCTGCCGCAAGTATACCGTTACCCTTCCGGTAATCGTCGAGACATTTTCCCTGCGAGCCTCTGCTTTGGGAACGACCACCACTACAAGTTCATTGAGGACTGAACTATTTTTTTATGGCGCATTAGATTACATACCGGTATTATTTGCACTATTGTATCTGAATTTACAGGATCCTAATCATGTGTTGAAATTATTGCATTGCTTCTCATTCTTGAATTTACTTTATGAAATAAAACAGAGTTGTTGTGTGTGCATATTTGAATTGCTGAACTGAGTTTGTTTTCCTAAAAGGAGTTAATTAATGTAATTGGTTCCTGCTATTTGGAAGAAAACCTTGGGTTACATTTATAAATTCATGCCCTGTCACTTGTGACTCCAGACTGACTTGCGATTTCACTTGTGACGTTTTTAACGGCGTTGTCAACACTCATGCTTTCAGTTTCAGTGAGAAATGAAACAAAGAAGCCTTTCTACTCACTTTGGTGTTTCTTTGAATAAATGCGGGAACATGACCTGTCTGGTGCTAGTCTTGGGGTCCACCCTCAGCTGCGACACCTGCTGGGTGAGGTCCTGGATGGTAGATTCTAACTCCTCCAGCAGACCATTGTGCCCTTCAATCTCCTGCCAAGCAAACAGTACAGATACACGTCATAATATGGACTGTAATCACTGAGCTTCAGTGGACAAGGTAAATTGCACCTATAAGGTGCACCCCAGACCCCCTTGAAGACGTACATTTTTCCAATCATGATTCATCCTTCTGTGGAATCTACACATCCCTGCATCACAATGTTGATGCACCAAATGTACACTTTTGAAGCTATTTGGCAACACTTTTTTACAGACTGTAACGCTACTACTAAAAATAACAGCGTTGCTGTTGAAACCCCTCAGCCAGAGTCAAGTTATCATCCGGAAACCATTAACCTTTAACTGAACATGGTGACCTTGACCTTTGGCCTTTGACCCCAGAACCATGCAGTCCCAACATGCCTGTACCAATGGGGAAGCCCCCTACCGAAGTTAGACACCGAAATTTCATTTCTAACTCAAGTTATCATCTGGAAACCATTTACATGTAACTCACCACGGTAACCTTGACCTTTGACCTTTTGACCTCAAAACCAATCCCAACTTGCCTACTCCCAAGGGCAACCCCCTACCAAAGTTAGACATCAAAATCTCATTTGTAACTCAAGTTACCATCCGGAAACCATTTACCTTTAAACTCACCATGCTGGCCTTGACCTTTGACCTTTTGACCCCAAAACCAATCCCAACTTGCCTACTCTCAAGGGCAACCCCCTACCAAAGTTTGACACCAAAATCTCATTTCTAACTCAAGTTATCATCCGGAAACCATTTACCTTTAACTCACCACACTGACCTTGACCTTTGACCTTTTGACCCCAAAACCAATCCCAACTTGCCTACTCCCAAGGGCAACCCCCTACCAAAGTTTGACACCAAAATCTGATTTCTAACTGAAGTTATCATCCGGAAACCATTTATCTTTAACTCACCACAGTGACCTTGACCTTTTACCTTTTGACCTCAAAACCAATCCCAACTTGCCTACTCCCAAGGGCAACCCCCTACCGAAGTTACAATCCCAAACAACATTTCTAACTCAAGTTATCATCCGGAAACTAAGCTGCCCGGACGGACACACTGACATACGGGCGTCCGTTCCAGCCAGACGGAATTGTGGGGTGATAGCATTGTGTTCCCATTATCCCTTTTTCTAAAGATTCCCTTCTGGGGTGATGTTTTTCTATTGTAAAAAAAAGTGGGGTGATGTGTCCTGAAAGGAACTTCACCCCACAAGGGTGGTATGGTCAGAACGGACGGACGGACGGACGGACGGACGCCCTAGGCGATGACAATACCCCTTGAGCCTCTCGGCTGAGGGGTAAAAACGAATGATGTACCGGCACCTACATGTATGATTGAATATACCAAACTGTTTAATATACCAATTTGTAACTTGAAGTACCCTATTATTGGAAACGAACAAAATACATGACACGCAAATGTTACCGGCTCCCCAAAAATGGTATAAAGTCGCACTGAGCATAAAATATTCAATACCTACAGTTTCAAGTTTTATTCACAGATATGTTGATTTTTATGAACAACTGAAGTGGAAAAAAACAACCATTTTGTGTGCAAAATTCTGTTGTTCTACCAAAGAGCCAGCTATTTCAAACCTGTTTTCTCAGTTGTGTAATTGAACGACAAGGACGCAAATACGTCATATCTCCAGAACAGGAGAGGCTATGGAGCATACCAAATAAAGAGCTTGTGGGCTTCCGAACCATGTACATTACTCATTTTACTTTTTTTGCAACATACTACCCTTTTTTGTGGAGCCGGTCACAAATGATCCTATCTATATGCATTTAAGAGAGACTGACCTTTCTCATGACGATGTTTTGCATGGCCATTTCCTTGAGGCTGTCATGCATAGAGTCAATGGCGTTGTCTGTCACCGTCTCCTTGATGCCATGGAGTCTCTCTTCACTCTCCTGATAGTACTTGTCCTTCTCAATGGCCGTTATACTGATCAGGTTGTTTATTTCGGCCTGTAACAGAACCACAATAAAGTTATCTTTGAGCTTGCCAGACAAAACATTTTGCTAGCTTCCTTGTGTTCCAGTAATTCATTGAGACTTGACACTTAGAAATATATGCCCTCGCCCACATAAAATACCCCTTTTGACTGTGACCACCGCTGTTTTCAGGGCGACACTAAGTTTGTGCGCATGTCCGTGCTTCAGCTCGTATGAAATGCCCTCTTGGGACCGAATGTATCCAGTCACATTTTGCGTAACAAACAGCTCAACGGAGGACGTCTTTTTAATCACCTTTTTATATTACAAATAAGTTTTTGATATTATTAGAGATATAACAATAAATCGACAGAAAAAGGACTATATTTTTTTATCAGATGGGACTGTAAACTTTTGACAAAGACACTTGATGAGAAAACACCTCCGGAAAATTACCTCTGATTGCAACGTTTATAGATGTCTCAATCGGAACGAAAATAATGGTCACGTTTTGTAGGATTTTTTGTCATCCTGGGAATTCATTCCAAATCAAGTAAATTACCATTGGAAAGAGTAAATAAAGGAGAATACCAATGTGGAAGACTTTTGAGAGCAAACCCTGTTGGAGCCACGTACGTAGCTATTAAATACGTACACTAAATGTAAACAAACTGCGCCATGTGTGCACAAATCCATATAGCATGCAGGCGCGGCACTACGCGTACGGTATATCCCCGTCCCTGTGAAATGTATACACGCGGGGCACAGGCCAATCACTAGTTGGCATGGTTGTTTGAATTGCAAACCCCGAGTTATGAGTTATATTGTGCAGTTGAGTGGGAAAACCACACTCCAGGTTCAGTAAACCCACCAGGGAATCCCCCATGTGCAAGCAAGTTTAGGGGTTTGCTCTTTTGAAATCACCGTTAATACAAAATTTAAAGTCTAATTGATGTTTTCATGGCAGGCTTAATGCTAGCTGAACTTACTTGATTGCAGAAAAAATGCTTTCTTTTGGACCCTTTCTTCCGCTTGTTGCTGGCTTTCGTTCAGTGAAAGAGGCCTTCGTTTTTGTGTATTTCGCGAAAATAACTATATTGCATTTAAAATATTCGATGTAGATGCTAAGGATATATAGTTTTTAACCTACTTTGGGACATATTTCGTGCATTTATGAGCATTTTTTTTGTAAGGCCGTTCTCAGCGACTTGTTTTTATGAACGAGCTCATGAATATCCATTTTACAGCACAGCCTGGAAAAACTGGCGCATGCGCATAAACCTCATGTCGCGCTGTGTGAGCCTCTGGAACACCAGTGTGACCTCTTCGACAAAATGACACAAAGCTCTTATCCAGAGCTGTCAAAAAAATTCATTGTGTTCACGTTTGCTGGGTGATTGAGCTTAGGCTTACATGCCTTACAAAAATAGGGTCGGTCGGAATTTATTATTTTTTTGGCCAATTTTTTTTATGCAGATTGAATGGGGCATTCATTTATATGCGAAGTTTTTGCCTGAACTATTTCCATTGCACTACGAAAGATATACACAAAATGGCCACAAAAAGTGAAAAAAACCTACCTTAATTATTGTCAATAAATTTAAGTTCGATAATTCTTAAAAAATAATGGAAAAATTAAGGTCGTTCGCACCATATGCACAACGCTAGTCACTGGCCAAAACTCCGTAGTGTGTGATGCACTGTGCATGTGTGGCGCGCAGCCGACAGACCTCTTTTTTACAGTCGAAAATTTCGGGAAACACGTTGCATGTATCTCACCATATACGAGTAGTGCGATCACAAAATGAACTCTTGAACACGGCAAATACATACACGGACAAGCTAGATCAATTCTGTGCATTAACTTGCACAAATGGTTCTTTCTCCATCGGTGTTTTCTTGGCATTTTTACGATGTCAAATCCGACCAGTTGACAGTGCACCGGCCTGCAATGCATAGCCATGCTAGCGCTATAGATCGCATAGCCATGCACAGACTGGTTACCGCATTTTCATCATGTCTTCTAAATTGGCCCCTGCACGGCGCAGCGGGAACCAGTCGTCGCTGCATTGAGCTAGGTTTACACACGTGATTATAGTCACCATGACATCGAATTGCAAAGTAGTTATATCGCGAAGCGAATTTGTAAAAAAAACGGAGGCTTCTTTTGAAAAAAATAGCGAATGTAAGTAAGAAAACAAATAAATACAAATTTTTTTTACGCAAAAGGGTTGTTGAGAGGTATTTTGTGAAGACAGAAAAGACAACAGCATTTTATATTTATTTATTCAATCATTAATTTTTTATTTTTTTTTGGAATTGCTTATAAAATTTTTAGGGTTGCGGCCTAAAAATAGGGTCGGTCGGGTAACTGGAAGCAGAATAATTTTGTTTTTGGCCTTAGTGCTTTTTCAATGAAGTCAGTCAGAATTTTTTTGTTGGCTGGTTCACTAGACATATGTTTTACAAGCCCGATTTCTGGAAGCACAAAAATACTTCCATAGTTCTCTAAATTTCCCACGCAATCATCATTGTTTCAGAACTATTTGTTGATTTGTTTGCTGTTTCTATTTTTGGGCAATTTCAGCATAGAGGAAGGATTTAAATCCGGATTTTTTACAATTCGGTTTGAATCCCACTTTACGATTTTGGAAATTGGACATACAAAACCAACCTTACAAAACAATTAAGCCTTCCATTTTTTTGTGACACAGGCTGAAGAAGAAACTGGAACATCTCCCAATTTGCCCCATGGTCTCTGATACATGTAGTTACTGCATTCACTTGCAAGTGGTCTTCAAGTGAATGACTAGCCTACCCATTGGACTTATAAAACAGTTGACACCCAGTTTTTCAACATTACAACTCTGGAGTGTTTTTGTAAAGGCCCAGTGGTCTAAGCCTGTTCGATATCTATTTATTTTTAAATCGGCATATCGTGAAAAAAATATCGGATATCGCGATATGATCATGATGACGTCATTTTTCCATTCATGGAACAATGGAATAACAAAAATACACAAAAGAAAACAAAAAACACACGACCGAAGTCACGATCCACTGCCGCGAAAAAACCCCCAATATGTCCTGAACAAAATCGTAAATTTTATTTGACTAGAGTCTCATTTACTTTGCCAATTTAGGTAGAAAACAGATTCCACATTCAAATATCGAAAACAAAATTACCTTGAAATGTTGGATAAAAATGTGCAAATAGAAATCCATATCGAGGAAAGAATGAAGCACTAGCACGCAATGCACGCCGCATTGATCCCCACGTGCACTCATAGTACAGCCCACACCATTTGCAGTCAAGGGTGTGCTTCATTGAAAACAATTTACCAGTATTTCCACCTTTTCAGAATTACAAATAATATTTTTTTTAATGGAGTCCGAAATATTTCCTGGTTCAGAAAAAGTTCTTCATCGTTACAAAAGAGCAAAATATTTTTTTTTCTAAAGATTTTTTTCGAAAAACGATGTTAACTCCAAAATGAGGGTGAAGCACACCTTTACAAAAATTAATGGATCAGTCCAATTTCTTGTGACGCATTTTCTGTTCTGTGAACGAAATAAAAGGCACGACTGAACAGTTGGTTTTCGACGTTTTTTGTTGCTGAAAATATGAACAGATTTCATAAGTTTGGGACAGTTTTGGCACTAAGCAAGTGTAAGTGCCCAGGCACAACCACGGAAGAGAAGGAACGAGTCAGGAAAATACGTGCAGGAAAATTTGATCTAGTTCGCCTGCGCGGAGTCGGCCCAGCCCAGCGGCGATTTTTGTTCTCTCCCAAACGACATCCGCAATACGCTATGGCGTTTTGGACTATACTTTTCTAAAAACATGAGAAGAAAATCAAAAATATAAATATATGAAATTCGGGCTTTATTTCCCTTTTTAAAAAAATCCTCCCAAGCCTCAGGTTAGAAAAAAAAAAAAAAAATCATATGCAATACTGTCATTCGAACCCGCAACCTTGCGGTGTAAAACACAATGTATTATCGACTGAGCTGTCGCACTGCTTGCTTCAAAGGTGGAAAACTAATAAATATATAGTGCCCACGTATTATAAAAGTATTGTAGTGGGCGCTTAACGTGCGTATGTCGTTTGGGCTGGAAAAAGAAAATTTGCGGGCTCGGCGTGGTCTCCTCTGGCCGCGTGCCGAAACGAAACATTCACTTCTCAACGTCGTAATCTACAATTCAAGTACATGTATTTGTGGTGTTTTGTCTGTACAACTTCACATTTCCGTCAAAACAAAACAGGCTTCGTATTTGCTTTGGGAAATGTCAGAGACTTGTTTCCCCTCGGTTAACTCCATGCACGTGATTACGATTTTGGCACTTGGTATGTGGGGTGAAATTGTGTTGTTTGTACTGCCACGTGCAGCGTGGAAGACGCAAAATCCAATACACATGACATTAGTCAGTTGGTTCCGCCCCTGAATAGGTAAGACCTCGCGGTACAATGCGGTAACAGTGAATTTGTGGTTTGCGGTTTTTCATGGGAGCGCTTTAGCGACAGTTTCAAACCTTAAGGGATTGACTATGGTTACAAAAGCGGTACCTCAAAAGAATATCGCGATATTTTTCGGCATATCAAACTTCACGATGTGCCGATTTTTTTTTATGAGATCGATACGATTTCCGATATAAAAAAAAATCTAATCGAAATATTGTGAAATATCGTCATACCGAACAGGCTTGCAGTGGTCATTGAATCCTGCAACCTATACCCAATTGACCTATCGCCATTTTCGAGTTAGCCACGCCCTTAGACAACCCTATGGAATTTTTGTACGCTGAGTTTTGTTTGTCTCAGATTTTGCGCGTTCCCTGTCCATTAGTATATCACGTAATTGGACATTATTTCACAAGCTGCCTTGATGCGATTCTACTGCTATTCTACCGTGATAGGGCGGGGGGGGGGGGGGGGGGGGGGGGGGCTGTAACCCCCCCAAATTTTGTCTAGCCCCCCCAAAATAAATTCCGTAAAAAAAAAATTGCATTAGCAAAAAGAAGGATTGTGATGTACATGCGAACGGTCTCCCCCTAAAGAAGAAATAGCCGTGACAAGGGTGCATTAGTTAATATAGTGTGAACGATTTTAGGATTTTATTGGCGCTCCCCATTGAAAATACGGCATGAGCCCCCCCCCCCCCAAAAAATTCTGGATCCACCGTGCTAGCCCCCCCAAAATATTGGTTCTAGAACCGCGCCTGCCATCATCTAGTAATGTTTCACTCAAGGAGATTAAGGAGTAGGAGTTTTGGATCATTTCTCTGAATCATTAATATATATTATGGTTAATTGGCTCTGTCATGGACATTACACTTCCTTTCATAGCGCTGGAATTACCCCTCCTGTAAACGATTTAACCACGTCGTGCAGGGTTTATTTTTGCCCAAAATTTCAAAAGGCAAAATTTCCAGCCAACTTCTGATATACAGCCACACGCCACAAATACTGGTTCGCAAGAGTGATTTCAACATTATTTGAAACGTCATAGTTTCAACACTCCAGGGTGTGCATGCCATGCACAACGGCCCACACAATGGTCAGCACACGGTCCGCTCCACAGACTACATGGACTTTGAGTGTGTGTACAACAGGCATGAGGGATTAGCGAGTTTGATGCCACCCAGAGGCGAGTCGAGGCAATCTAAGTCTTAACCTGTCAGTCTTGCCTGTGTACAAAAACAGCCAATGCGTGTACATCACGGTTTCCGGCGCGAACTGGTTAATACCTCATATTCTGTGGAGAGATACTGAATCTGCTTCTGTAGCTCGGCAATCTTCATTGCTCTGACTGGGTATTCCTTGTCCTTGTAACTCATCAGGACAGACAGCTCCGTCTTTCTTTCTCTCAGCTTGTTGTCCAAAGCTTGGCCTTGCTTCTCAAGTGCTAGAATTGAAGACAAGATGATCAAAACAAACTTTGAAGATGTTACTCAGGATTGCGACAAAGTGTGAGTAATTCAGAGAATTCTGCATCTTGGTATGTGGCTATAAATGAAAACAGAGTCAAAGATTCCCCCTCCATAGTAAAATCAAAACCACAATTAAAAAACACCAATCGGTCTATTTCACGAAACTACAACAAATGCAAATGATCCTGTGTACCCTTAAGAGTAACAGCTATAATTTGGATTACATGTAAATGCCAGATTTGCTGTAATAAACTCATACACTGTGAAAATTACAGGCTCTCAAGAATAATGCCTTCAACTTTTTGTTTTGGCGTTTGGGGTTTAATTTTACCTTCGACCTCCTTGGCCACTTTCGCTTTTGCCTCGTCGTAAGCTTTTCTTGCAAGAACCTTTTCAGTTTCAAACTTTGAAGTCAGTGTTGAAACAGCTCCCTGAAAAAATGAATACAAAATTTACAGATTTTTAAAAATCATGCTAACTCTCCTGCTATTTAAACAGTCACAGACAGTCAAATTTTCCATCCACTTTCCCCCAGTCACCAGCAGTCAGATCATATGTCAAGCAAGCACCATGACTAGTCAAACTCAGTCCAAGACCATGAACAGACAAAGCCGGCAAGTTGTGGGCACAGCTGGCTTATCAATTACCCACAGTCAAAGTAAAGCTGTATAAAGTTATTATCAGTCACAGCCAGTCAATCCGGCTTTGTGAAATAAGGCTTGGAATTTCTAACTGTTGCAAGCAGTCACTCGATCGACTTTGACTAAAGGCACAACTTGGCACAGAATGTATGTTCGCATGGGGGTTAATAGATTCTTCATTCTGCCACATCAGAGCAGTAAAAGTAAAAGTTCCTTAAAAATTCTTTAAAAAAAGAATAGATATGTACAGTTATTTTAAATATGATCACACACTTAATTGAGGACATATTGGACCAGCGACTTGAAGTTCTCTTCATCAAAGTACATAGTTGTACATAATTTCCGAACTTTGTAAAATTAAACTACAATCTTACCCTAAATCTCTCATACTTTCGTAGTAATGATTTCACCTCATCATGCTAGGAAAGGAAAGGAGAAAAAAATAATGAAAGGAATGAAATTAAAAATCATAGGATCTGTTTCCTTTCCATCCTTATCTTAAGACAATTACTCAACAAGTATATCAACATTTGGAAAAAGCAAAACCCACCTGTTTAAGTTTTAATTTGTTGACAAACAAAATAACTGTTCAATTTTGTACAATATTACAATTAAGATTTTTCAATTCTGGCACAGCTTGCTCGAAATTGATTTTAAAAACTTAAAAGTAAGAAACGTCCTGGATTGCATACGAACGACTCACCACTTCTTTCTCTTTGCCTTCAATCTCTTCTCTCAGCTTAGTATTCTCGTCAAGACTGGAAAAATTGCTCTTAAGGAGTAATTACACACTTAAGAAACTAATTGGCTTTTCCGCATAGTAGCGGAAAAGCCTTTCTTTTTGTTAAGATTTTTCTTTCTTCCTCTTCTTCTTTTTCTTTTTGTCGCCTAAACCCCATAGACTTTGTACACGTTTTTTTTCTCAACGCCACTTTTGGCAATAATCTTTGTCGTACATCATTCAAAGTCAACATAGGCATAGTCCTTATAGCATAGTTGTGTCCCGAAGAGTGACGTCATCGTGACGTCATCGTGGGTCACGTGACGTCACGTTAAAGATTAATAGATTAAATCTTTGGAAATCAGTATAAAATCAGCCGTGAGAGACCCGAACTTGACGTTTGCGGGAATCGATAGAATAATCCAGGATCTTCATTTTATCTCGTGTGAGCAAAATCATGTGACCTTTCCTTCCGGTCTAAACCGGAAGTAACTCGAATAGCCTTATAATTTAAAATTGGAAAAAAGATGTGAACTTGCTTGCAACGATGTTAGTCTGTGGCTAGATTGTACTTTACGAAAAAAACACAGGTGACGTCATAACATGTTAGAGCGCCCTCTATGGGCAGGTTGAAAAAAGTGAAAAAAAAATAATTTTCAGTCAATGTCTGTGACGAAGTTTGCGATAATCGCTTCAAAATTGGTGTATATGATGACCTCAATGCAGACAACACCTGTACGCGAAAAAAAAATGATGACGTCATCAGCCCAGAAATTATAAAGAAAAGACCTTTTTTCCTCTGAAAATTCCTGAAAATCAACCATGACAGTTTTTATATTAATTTTTAATTTAATTCGATTTAAGGGTAGGTCTAAAACATTTCGAAGTTTTCGAAGCAGTGCCCGCAGCGCACGTGTTGCCGAGGTCAAATCCCGACCTTTATCTGCAGGGCTTCGTCACGAATCGGCCGGAGTGTTCGACAGCTCTGTTTTTACGAACTACATGTTTACAAAAGAAGTAGCGATTCTCCAAGATGGCATGCATGGTTGTTGAAAGCAAACATTTTTTTTCTTTTCTGAATGATATGTGGATTCAGTAATAGATTCAGTATATTTTGGCAGAATTTGGTTCACTAGAAGTTGGGGTGTGAATTTGAGGATGAATTTTGTTGTTCTTTTTTAGTTCCTTCGCCGTGACTAATTGACTAGATTAGGACAAAAAATGATCACCACACATCGATAAAGAAAGCAACGAGCTTTCGTTTGATTAGCTTGTGCTAGTCCTTGTGGCGACATTTTCGTAGGTTTTCTGCCTATTAGCTTGGACGCGGGCGGAGGACGGTGTACAGCAAATCATCACGCACACGAACACATATAATTTCAGGGGGGGGGGGGTGGCTCGTTTTGAGGATGCTAATTTGTTTCATGTCATGCATGTTAAATTCCTTTTTTTCTGTATGTTTTGTTTTGCAATTGTCCTTATTTATAGATGGGATATATCCAGCTATGAATGTGTGCTTTTTATGAAGACAGTTGGTTTAATTTTGGAAAATTCACTTGAAAACTAGACAACAAATGGTGCATTTAGGCTGTACAACACATGTATAGATGTATCTGTATACTATACTTTGTGTTTTCGGTCATACAGAGAAAAAGTTTGTGAGGAAAAACATTTCGATAAATTTACAATTGTCACATTTTCTTTCAATACAGGAACCTGTTCACGCCAAGTTTGATTCGATTAAAACATTGTACATGCATAGTCAGGGATATGTTATTGATAAAAAAAAATTATAACGCGGAAAAGCCCTATGTCCTGTTGCAAACAGACTAGATCTCTCGTTTTCTTTCTTCTTCTTTTTCTTCTTTTTGTCCCCTAAATCCCATAGACTTTGTACACGTTTTTTTCTCAGTGCCACTCTTGCCATTAATCTTTGTCATACATCATTCAAAGTAAGCATAGTCATAGTTCTTATAGCAGAGATGTGCCCCGAAGGTGACGTCATGATGACGTAATCCTGGGTCACGTGACGTCATCATAAATGTGCATATTTTGAAGTCCTATATCTACAGAACTGTAAGTCCGATTGGGTTGTAACTCTGTATGTAGGTAGACCGGGATGTGTTATAGGTAAAAATTGAGGTGACATCATGATGACGTCATCGTGCAATTTTATATGATTTTTTTGAATTTTTGGACTTTTAAGCCATATCTCACGAATGCAAGATGCAAAATTCTTTTTGTATTATGTTTGTTAGGTAACAGGTATATGTACAAAATTTTGAAAAATGTGTGATGTCATCATGATGTCATCAAAAATGCAATTTTTTAAAACACATATAAGGGAAAATCCGACCGTCATGAAACGTGGTAGATAGCTAGATAATGGTACTAGAATGCTAAATCTGAAATGACGTCACCATAACGTCTTCGCATGATTTTGTATGATTTTTTTACTATGTACAATTTCATTCCCCTTCCAAAATCTAACACTTCCTTTCATTGGATTGACTTCAAGCTTGGTACAAACCAAGACCACAATGCAAAAAATGTGCATTGACAAGTGTTATCAAGATGACGTCATCGTAAGGCATGTGACGTCATCATAATGGTGCATTTTTTTTTATTGAGAAAACTATCAGTCCGAATGGTTCAAAATTGCGTATGAAGGGAGGCCGATACGTCTGATTTAATATGGATTTATTTCTTTTTGATGATAATACATGTATATCTCACAGAGGCTACATGCTAAATTAAAAATTTCTGGTACTGTATAATTTGAAACGTTGTACATGCATAGTCTGGGACGTCTTACTGATAAAAACAAAAAGCATAATGCGGAAAAGCCTTATGTTCTGTTGCAAACAGACACAGATCTCTAGTTTTGTTTTTTTAGCTGCGGGATAGCAGCTCAACAAATCATCATGTCTCTCGTTAGTCCATTAGTAATAAACGTTGACATTGTCTATGCTCCTACATATTTGGACCGATTTCAACAAAACTTTGTCAAAAGCATTTATAAGTAGCCAAGCCCCAATATGTCACAAGACCAAACTGGGGTCAAAGGTCATCATGGAGTCACTGATTTTGTTTTACTCAAAACATAACACTACTCCTTCCAGAAATTACATGGTACAATCACGTGACTCACGCATAAACACAGATTTCGTTTGCATGCAGCTCCCAAGATATTTCCGATTGAGCTTGTTTGTTTTTTTTATTAATTTTGGATCCTAAATATGTCTTACATATAAACTGCCTTTAATGTTGAAGACAATAATTGTGCCACAGATGTGATTTTTTTTAGGATAAATGGGGTATAATAAACATGATAAATGCAAGAGGAAAATCCTTATGTAATTTCTCTGTTGTCTTCTTGCGACATCACATACATCAAATCTGCAACAATTCAAACCGGACATCACGTCAAGAGTAAGATCTATATTTTAGTACTTACTTACATCATCTATTTTTTTTACCAGCTGCTCGGAGATACCTGCTTTTGAATCAACACATCACATGTACATTTACTGTGAAAAGCAAGGATACAGTGTTTCCTGCCTGGCCTTGTAGTTGGCTAGGGCTTTCCTCCGGGACCTGATCAGCAACTCTAGCACCTTGTTTTCTCTCTGTCTCTCCTTCAAGCTATCGTCCTCCTCTTCAGCTGGGGTGGTTCTACTCCTGGACTTATGCTGGTGGGCGCAGGCAGGGCCAGCGTAGTAGTGGAACTGCTTGGTTGGCGATTCCTGGGGTCGCGATCCTACCACAAGGGCTTTGGAAAATAAATAGGAACCAAAAAACAGGTGACTTTTGAATTTCCACTTCTACTTAACCAGTTCACGCCGGGTATATTTTGACAAGAACGGAACAAGGCACAGGATTACTTTTCACCCAACCTCAATACAGGCGGGTTGATGAAGCCATCATCCTTAGGCAGCACACTCATATTTCCGGCCTCGCTCACTGCGAGCCGGTCACTGACCCATCTATTACTCCCTGTAATGCCCCAAACCTCCCCAACACTCTATGGTTTTATGGAATCATCGCTGAACAAACACAATGGATAACAATGTGGCAGGGTTGTTTTTTTTTTTTTTTTTAAATCAAAAAAAAAATCGGATTTATTTGATTTAAAATCAGATTTTTTTAATTTAAATTTTTTTTTTTACTTTCAAAATATTGTAACGAAAATGCAAGTCATGATTAATTTCCAGTTAGCACACTTTATTCTTCACTCTGATAAGATACAGGTTCCGTTCATAAACTTAATTGATAGGACTTACGGAAGATAAGAAGATAAGTTTAAAGTTAATAACTTGTATTTCAATGAGAAGAATTAATGCCAATACAGTTGACTGTGTACTGATAATAGGGCCTATGATAAACTAATGGTAGAATAACTGTTAAATGAAATGACTTGTACAAGTTTAATTCAAGCTTTATAGGTCAAGACGCTATGATTATTATGATTAAGAATAATATTTGGCGCAGTGGTTTATGGCCAATCAGAGCATTGCAAGAGGCATTTTGTTATGATGCGCTAGCTCCTTGCGTTATGTACGCGCCCAAACGCTATAAAAGACGAGCCAAGTCAGGGCTCGGTGTTCAGATCGTGACTGGTTCTGGCCCGGTGAGGAAGTTCATCCAGAATAAGGAGCGCGTCGTACTCAACGTTCGATTGCAATGCACATCGGCGCTCCGCCTCATCGTTATCCACATAGACATTAGATAATACGCATCGGGCACGGTGTGTGCCAACAGTATTGGAAGACAATAAAACCGTTATTATTATTTGAAGAACAACACGATCTCTCCAGTCAGAATTCTTGTCTAGTCTCTAGTCATTTAGTACTTGAACCAGTGATTTCGCGCCCGTTACATTTGGTGGCAGCGGTGACCGGACTTCGACGGAGGTATTGTACACGCTACCAGAAAGACAAAAGAAGATGAATACTTCTGATCAAGAAATCCAGTTCGGACCCACCGCCGGGGCGGGCCGTTCAAGTACGCCAGAAGATGACACCATACATAGTTCACCGGCATTGGGCGGTGATGGTGACGGTTCATTTCAACGTGAACGACGAGAAATCAACCTGATGAAGGAAGAAAACGATAGGTTGCGGCGGCAACTTGCGGCAATGGGCACTGCCGATAATGAACGACAAGAACCGTCACCGTACAACATGGAACGACAAGAACCGTCACCATACAACATGGAACAACAGAGATCGACACAGAACAACATGTCAGCCCTGTCTGGCAATAAGCCGAGAGTTCGGCCAGCGACGTATGATGGTATGAGCCCCTGGGAAGACTACCTTGTGCAGTTTGAGCTATTGGCTGAGCTCAACGGGTGGAGTGCACGGGAGAAGGCGATGTACCTGGCCGCTAATCTACGGGGCGCAGCACAGGCCGTGCTGGGTGACTTAGATGTCACTAGACGACGAGATTATAACGCCCTCGTCACGGCACTCAGTCGACGATTTAGCCCTGACAACCAGACGGAGATGTTTCGTGTTCAATTAAAGAACCGAACGAGAGGGCGAGATGAGAAACTTCCCGAGTTGGCCCAGAGCATAAGGCGGTTGACACGACGGGCATACCCAACGGCACCCTACGAGCTACAAGAAACACTAGCGAGAGAGCATTTCATGGATGCTCTAGATGATGCTGACATCCGTTGGCGAGTGTTTCAATCCAGGCCGATCAACATTGATGATGCTGTGAGAGTTGCCATTGAGCTTGAGGCATTTCATACGGCAGAGAGACAACGGGGCCAAATAAGACGGTCAGCACCGGCTGCCAGAGTGATATCCTCTGACACAGCAGATACAACAGCCGCACAACCCCTGGAACGACAGCTGGCTGCATTTACCTCTACAATCGGTAATGCTATTGCCGAAGGGTTCAACAATCTACAGAAACAACTAAATGGGGAAGGGAAAATGGATAATGGCCAAAAGTTTAACCCCAGATCATCAACACAACGAAGATGGGCTCGTCAGGGAGACAAAGGCACCGTGGAGTGTTGGAACTGCCACGAGACCGGCCATTTCCGACGAGAATGCCCAAAAGCCGGTTCATGGAGAAATGATACAAGCTCCCTTCAGGAAAACGGCGGACAGTCGAGCTTGTGGGCCGAAGATCGACTACAGCACCCAGGCCCGGGCCAACAGACCCAACAACAACAACAACAACAATAAAGCCACGCATCAGATCGACAGTGGGGGCATGTGGCATGTATGTGGCCGGACATCTAGAAGGGGTGGGTGTGAATTTTCTGGTAGATACAGGGGCCAACATAACGATAGTGAGGCCAGAGATTTACTACGCCATACCAGAATCAACGCGACCGCGACTAGAGAATAAAGAAATCACCATGGTAACAGCAAATGGCAAGCCCCTACTCTCCATTGGGCGTGGGAGTTTTCAACTTAAAATCGGCAAGCAGAGCCCTCAGGTACAACATGATGTATGGGTGGCTGAGATCGACCTAGACGGTATCCTGGGCTATGATTTCATGATGAAATACAACTGTAATCTAGATGTGGGTAGGGCAGAAATGAAATTGCACGACATACCCATAGCGTGCACAGCCACTGCACGGGCACCAGCATCATCATGCCGCATCACTGCAGATACTACTGTGAGCATTCCACCAGGCGGAGAGGTATTGCTACCAGGGAAACTGGAAGGAGAAGCAGGTCTTACGGGACTGGCTGTAGTTGAACCAACGGCTAATTTGATAGAGAGACATGAGATGATAACCGCCAGGTCATTGGTATACACCGACAGTGGAAAGATTCCAGTTCGCATTTTGAACCTGACAGAGAAACATGCCACACTCTACAAAGGTACCAACGTTGCTACTTGCGAGCTAATAGAAGAAGTGGTGACAAATGTAGACCACTGTGATGTAAGAGCAGCAACTTGTCACACCGAGGAATCACCACCTAAAGAGTCAGTTCACAATGACACCAATTACATGCCCTCCCACCTTGATGATCTGTATAAGAGATGTAGCGTTCATCTTGAAACTGAGCAGCGGCAACAGCTTGCTACATTACTACAGCGACACCATGATGTTTTTGCGAATTCATCAGAAGATTTGGGAAAAACGGCCGTGTATCAACATAAAATAAACACTGGTGATGTACCCCCAATTCGCCAGCGAGCCCGCCGACTACCAATTCATCAAAGGGTGGAATCAGCGGAAGAAGTAAACAAGATGTTGAAAAGAGGTATTATCGAACCGTCTGCTAGCCCATGGGCATCACCAATAGTACTGGTAAAGAAGAAGGACGGCAGTATCAGATTCTGCGTCGATTACCGCAAAGTCAATGCAGTGACAATAAAAGACTCCTACCCTTTGCCGAGAATAGACGACTCCCTAGACACACTGGCCGGTTCAACGTGGTTTTCAACCTTGGACTTGCAGAGCGGCTACTGGCAAGTCGAGATGGCTGATGAAGATAAGGAAAAGACGGCATTTGCAACAGGCACAGGGTTCTACCAGTTCAAAGTTATGCCATTTGGACTTTGTAATGCCCCCGCTACGTTTGAACGGCTGATGGAAAAAGTGTTGAACGGGTTGCAATGGCAAACGTGCCTGATATACATCGATGACATCGTATCCTATGGCTGCAATTTTCAACAAGCACTTGGGCGACTTGAAGAAGTATTAGTCCGACTCAAGACAGCTGGGCTGAAACTGAGTCCAAAGAAATGCCATCTATTTCAACGAAGCGTGTCCTTTTTGGGCCACACCATCAGTGAAAAGGGCATAGCTACCGATGATGCCAAAACGGCTACAGTAAGGAACTGGCCAACACCGAAGAATGTCACCGAATTGAGAAGTTTCCTGGGCCTATGCTCGTATTACCGAAGATTCGTAAGAGGCTTTGCAGGCATTGCAAAACCATTGCATCAGCTGACTGAAAAACAACAGCCGTTCATCTGGACAGACGAGAGTGACAGAGCATTTCAGCAGCTTAAAACGGCCCTCACTTCCACTTCAATTTTGGCGTATCCAACGGAAGAAGATGAATTCATATTGGATACTGATGCGAGCAACTATGGAATTGGTGCAGTGCTATCGCAGGTGCAAAACGGCACAGAAAGAGTCATTGCATACTTCAGCCGTACACTTGGCAAAGCTGAGCGCAAGTACTGTGTGACGAGAAAAGAGCTCCTGGCTATAATCAGTGCAACGAAGCATTTTCATCACTACCTCTACGGCAGAAAATTCCTGATACGTACCGACCATGGGGCATTGAGATGGCTAATGAACTTCAAGAGCCCAGAAGGTCAGACGGCAAGATGGCTAGAAGTGATGGGTACTTATACCTTCGACATACAACACAGACCCGGCAGACAACACGGTAATGCAGACGGCTTATCTCGCCGGCCATGTGACGAATGTCAACAGTGCGAAAGAATTGAGCACAATGACCATGAAATGCATGTTCATGTCATCACACCGAAGCCGACAGCCACTAATATTTCGGAACCAAATGATGTCTTGCTTAATTGCAAAGAGAAAGAAGAAGTGATGAGCCACAAAGAAAAGTGTATCGGCAAAGAAAAATCGTCATGCAATGGCAATGATGATGAAGTGCATGGTTGCTCAGCCCAACCCGTGTGCACAAATAAAAATGATAAAAACGAAGAGATACAAGATGTAAGCACTGACCCCAACGCAAATACGGAGGCGCAAGATGTACCAATAACGTACTGTTCCGTAATTGGAACTACCGAGGCCGGAGAAGAAACCCCAGAGGAAAAGTCTGAAGAGGGCTGGAGGTCAGGAGACCTCGGATGGACAGCCAAAGACTTGAGAGGGTCGCAACTGGATGACAGAGACATCGGGCAGATACTCCGATGGAAAGAGTCAAGAGAAGAGCGACCAGACTGGGCAGAAGTCTCTCCCGAGGGCAGAGTAGTTAAATCATATTGGACGCAATGGGAGCGTCTAGAAGTACGTGATGGAGTGCTGTATAGACGATGGGAATCAGCTGTAGGTGATAAGATAACGTGGCAATTAATCCTTCCTTCGAATATGCGTGAAGACTTGATGAAACTTCTTCACTGTGAACCAACGTCCGGACACTTGGGACGGACTAAGACGTCTGACAGAGTTCAGAAAAGGTTCTACTGGTACGAGTGGCGAAGTGACGTCAGCAAGTTTTGCAAAAGTTGCGATATCTGCGCAACTCGTAAACAACCGCTGAAGCACCGTCGCAGCCATATGAAGACGTACAATGTCGGCATACCAATGGAAAGAATAGCCATTGATGTGATGGGTCCTCTGCCAGTTTCAGATCGAGGGAACAGGTACATACTGGTCGTTGCAGATTACTTCACGAAATGGACGGAGGCATACGCCATTCCAAATCAAGAAGCAACCACTGTCGCCAACGTTCTCACAGAAGAATTTATCTGCAGATACGGTGTCCCGTTACAACTACACTCAGATCAGGGTCGAAACTTCGAGTCACATGTGTTCCAGGAAGTTTGTCAGCTACTCGGCATCGACAAAACTAGAACCACTGCTCTTCATCCTCAATCTGATGGAATGGTTGAACGGTTTAATCGAACACTGGAAGCCATGCTCTCCATGTTCGTTTCAGACAACCAGCGTGATTGGGATCAGCGTCTGCCTTATATCATGATGGCATATCGAACTTCGATTCACGAGACCACGGGATGCACGCCAAGTGAGCTAATGTTAGGCCGTGATGTGAAATTACCTGCGGACTTGCTAATTGAGCGACCCCTAGAAGAAAAGTACAGTGAGCATACAGAGAACGCAGAGAAGTTACTCGAGCACATGGAAACCACACGACGGTATGCGAGAGAACATCTGAAAGTAGCGACAGAAAAACAAAAGAAAAGCTATGACCACAAAGCAAATGCAGGTGGCTACAACAAAGGAGATGTTGTATGGTTGTACAACCCAACGAAGAAGAAAGGGATAAGTCCTAAACTGCAGAGATACTGGGAAGGCCCGTACCTGATTACCAAGAGGCTGAGTGATGTCACTTACAGGCTTCAGAAAGGGCCGAAGACAAAACCAAAGGTCGTACATAGTAACCGACTCAAGCCATATTGTGGAAGCAAGCAAGTCAAATGGCTTTGGAAAGAAACAAGCAATAAACAAGACACGAAATGTAGCCGGGAAGAAAAAGAAGTCAGGATGGATTCTGCAGAACAAGACAGAAACAAAAGAAGTTCGACGAAAGTACAAGTAACAAAGCGGCGAAGGACTGGACGACAAGATAAACCTTTGGCAGAAAACCAAGAAACTAATCTACGAAGAAGTCAGCGAAGCAGGTGCCAACCAGAAAGATATCGAAATTAGCACCAGTGAACAGGCACATCCGGTAACCTGTAAAGCTCACTATAACTCAGGAGAGTTATACTTCTTAGGTGAGGGGGTGTTATTAGTTTAACACCAGTGAGGGGTTAAGCTCCCTCTACTGCCCCAGCCAGGTGTAGCAGGGGGGTGTACCTGCATCGCCGAACCCTTTGGGTTTTATCGACTGAGGAGTAATCTGAAGTCAGCCACCACACCTTGTCGCTTGGGGTGTAAAATACAATGCCGGGTCTACCAGTCTAATAATGCAGCTGCGCGGATCGACATGTCGTCACCATCATCAGGAAGTTAGCCTCAACTATTTCAGTCAATCGAGTTATTCCGCACAAGATAATCAAGTGTTCATCGATGGGGCTATCTAGCCCGGCTATCCAGCGCACCAGGGTCAGCCACCCTCAGCTTTAGAGTTCATCGATGGGGCTATCTAGCCCGGCTATCCAGCGCACCAGGGTTAGCCACCCTCAGCATAGAGTTCATCGATGGAGCAATCTTATCTAGCCGGTACCAGGGTCCGCCAACCTCAGAGGTTCCAGAGTGATCATTAGAGAAGATTTGGTAAGATACAAGTTGGTACAAAAACGAACACAGTGAAGAATGGGTCTTGAAATACAAATTTGGGGAGTTTAAATTTTAATAGAAGTAGCCTGCCGCTTTTGGACGTGATGCGTCCGAAACGCATGTTTCTTTAATAATGTGTGTAGCGCCCTCAAAAGTCGAGGCGCGAATAGCCTAATGGCAGCGCCCTATAGCTCGGCCTGTGTACCATGTGTAGTGTATACGGCTCGAGTAGAACTGCGGTAAGAAATTTTGCCGTTTTGTTTGAAGTAAAAAAAAAAAAAATAACGTCAGACGGAAACTGTGTCTGTTCAGTATGGTAGACGCAGGAACAGTTCGTTTTTGTAGAAGACATGTATCGTTGATGTATGTAGGACAAAGATAAATATTTGTGCGAAATTTGTAAATTGTTCTGCACGGTGTGTATAAATGTACATGTACATGCATTCAATAATGACTGTCGTGTTAGTTGTACAGACTACGGAAACTAGACGATGTTTGAAAACTGTGATGCTGCTGCTGATTTAAACATCAGAATGGTTTTTCCAAAAATAGAGATTAAGTTATTTAGATTAAGTAAACGTTTTGTTGAGGATATTCAGAGTTGCGGACCATTTCTAGTTTTATTTATTATTGTTGAGGATACTTGTTGCGGACTATCTCTAGTTTTATTTATTATTGTTGAGGATACTTGTTGCGGACTATCTCTAGTTTTATTTATTATTGTTGAGGATACTTGTTGCGGACCATTTCTAGTTTCATTTATTAATGTTGAGGATATTTGTTGCGGACTACTTATTGTATTGAAATAATTTTGGACATTGCTGAGGACGACTGTTGGAATATCTTGGGGTGCATAAATTACTTTCAGTGTGGCGGACAATTCTAATTTAAAGTGACAGGACTTTTTAAGCCGTGAGCTTGGCATAAGAAACCAAATATGATTCTTTTATTGAGAACATTGTAAGACTGCCTGGTGCAGTCAAGTCATAGGTAGTTTAATTACACATGCATTTTCGTTAACGTTTATTTGGTTCATTCGTAGTTAAATGCGAGGGCGCATTTGTGTCTTAAGTTGGGGAGAATGTAACGAAAATGCAAGTCATGATTAATTTCCAGTTAGCACACTTTATTCTTCACTCTGATAAGATACAGGTTCCGTTCATAAACTTAATTGATAGGACTTACGGAAGATAAGAAGATAAGTTTAAAGTTAATAACTTGTATTTCAATGAGAAGAATTAATGCCAATACAGTTGACTGTGTACTGATAATAGGGCCTATGATAAACTAATGGTAGAATAACTGTTAAATGAAATGACTTGTACAAGTTTAATTCAAGCTTTATAGGTCAAGACGCTATGATTATTATGATTAAGAATAATATTTGGCGCAGTGGTTTATGGCCAATCAGAGCATTGCAAGAGGCATTTTGTTATGATGCGCTAGCTCCTTGCGTTATGTACGCGCCCAAACGCTATAAAAGACGAGCCAAGTCAGGGCTCGGTGTTCAGATCGTGACTGGTTCTGGCCCGGTGAGGAAGTTCATCCAGAATAAGGAGCGCGTCGTACTCAACGTTCGATTGCAATGCACATCGGCGCTCCGCCTCATCGTTATCCACATAGACATTAGATAATACGCATCGGGCACGGTGTGTGCCAACAGTATTGGAAGACAATAAAACCGTTATTATTATTTGAAGAACAACACGATCTCTCCAGTCAGAATTCTTGTCTAGTCTCTAGTCATTTAGTACTTGAACCAGTGATTTCGCGCCCGTTACAATATTGATATAAAAATGTGTGTAAATCTCCCAATGCACCCTTACACCCATCACTAAGGAGTTTACAGGTTTCTACAATACCCATCATCCACAAAACTCCATAAATTGATATATGTTTTTGGACAAAATGTATGGAATCAGTGATAAAAAAAAATCGCATGATTTCAACTACGTACATGTACACATGTAGTCCACCTCATTGGTTCAATGGTACATTAATACTGAAGTTACTTTAAAGGTGCGTACAGCTGAGATACATGTTCATTGTGTGTGGGTATGAATGAAAAACGTGATTTACATGTATGTGTATGGTATCGTTCGTTCGTGTCTCCTCCATAGATCATATAATGTCCTTCCATCTCTGGATGCTTGTGATGGCCGTCTCAGTGACAAGGGTCAGGTCCTCGTCCGTGCAGTTTATTCCGCCGCACTCCAGAACATGATCCATCGTTTGGATCTGTCCGCAGTCACAGAGGGTATCTTCTTTATCGGTATACCCCCATCTTGCCATGTTGGCCCTGCACCGCCCCATTCTGGTCCGCAGCCGGTTCAGACATTGCCACTCTGGCCACTTCAAGTTGAGTCCTCTGATGGGTAGAGGCTTGACTGGTGGTGGGGGATTCTGCTCAGGTGGTGGGACAGAATCCAGAAAGCTGTGCCGGGATACAAGGCGCTTGTGAGGCGGTTGGTGTCCGTACAGCATGTGTCTGTCATCTGTGCACTGTTTCAATCGTTCCTTTAGGCAGATGTTAGTGCGCCTTTGGTCTGGAGATCCGACCCCAGAGAGATGGTATATCTTCTCAGCTTTTGTTGGTCTCAGGCAGCCTGTTATCTTTCGGTATGTGTTGTTGAGTGTGGTGTCAAGCTTTTTCACATGAGCTGATCTGCTCCATACGGGACAAGCGTATTCTGCGGATGACATGCAGAGGGCAACAGCTGCTGTTTGTACGGTTTTGGGGTCAACACCATAGTGTGATGTTGCGAGCTTCCCGATGATGGCATTTCGAGATCCCACTTTACCTATTGCCTTCTGGATGTGCTGCTTATAGGATAAGGTGCGATCGAGTTGCACGCCTAGGTACACTGGATGTTCGCAGTGTTTTAGCTGCACATTGTTCCACTCTATCTTCAGTTCCCTCTTGGCCTCCCTGTTCTTGAGGTGGAAGACACACACCTGGGTCTTGGACGGGTTTGCTCGCAGGTAGTTTGCTTGGTAGTATTCTGACAGGTTTGCGAGCGCTTTGTTGAGGTGGTGTTCAACAGCTTCAAAGGTGTTATGCTGGGATGTGATGCAGGTGTCATCTGCATAGATGAAGTTTCGAGTGTTCTCAGTTGATGGAATGTCGGCAGTGTAGATGTTGTAGAGTGTAGGCGCCAGGACGCCACCCTGGGGAAGACCGTTCTTCTGTTTCCGCCATCTGCTCTTCAGTCCATCGAGTTCGACAAAGAAGCGTCTGTTCTGCATCATCTTCTGGATGAATCTGGTGAGTTTAAGGTCATTTGTGATGTCATGAAGTTTTGTCAGTAGCCTTTGGTGGTTGACAGTGTCGTATGCAGCAGAAAGGTCTACAAATACTGCGCCGGTGATGAGGTTGTTCTGAAAGCCGTCTTCGATGTGTTGGGTCAGGTTAAGAAGTTGTCCTGTGGTGGATTTTCCTGGTCGGAAGCCTGCCTGCTCACAGTTTAGTTGGCTGTCAACATGGGGTACAATTCTGTTGAGAATAAGGTGTTCGAGAAGCTTGTAAGTTTGGCACAGGAGTGAGATCGGTCGAAAGTTCTTTGCTTCGTTTGGATCCTTTCCTGGCTTGAGGATGGCAACGACTTTGGTTCGAAGCCACTATTTTTGGGACACAGGTGTTCTCTATGCAGTTGTTGAACATGTCTAGTAGCCATTGTTGGGCTGCAGGGCCCATGTGTTCGATCTGCTCTGTTCTTAGGTCGTCGATGCCTGCTGCCTTATTGACCTGTAGGGTGGAGATACCTTTCTGTAGCTCTTCAGCAGAGAGAGGTCTGGTGAAATATGACAGGTTATGGTCAGCTCCAGGTAGCTTGTGCCTGTCTGTATTTGTTGTTTTGGGGGCCTTTCCGTTCAGCAACAGTTGGTTTGCTACTTGGTCAGCTGTAACATTGTAATGCTGTTCAGCTCGGGTGTTGTCAATGCCAAGCTTGCGTATGGTAGCCCATGCTTTCCTGCTGCTGTGTCTGAGGTCTGTCGTTTCAATCTGTGCTGCCACATCTGCCTATGTCGTTCAGATATCCTGGAGATGAGCTCTTCTCCTAAGGTGATGGTATCCTCTGAAAAGGGATCTGCAGTGCGTGAAATTAGACAAAAAAAGTGGTCAGACAAAATATCCGAGCACAATCAAAAGTGTTCTGCCATTGTCAAGTTTTGATCTGCCATTTAGCGTTCCAAATTTGAAGGTCACATACGGCATCTCAGTTGTGTCACAACTTTCACACCTCCCTCGACCTCTGTCTCGCAGTCAAGCCACGTCATGGTCTGGGAATCACGATCGTACTGTGACACCCATTTCTTAAAAGTATCATGCTTGACTTTCCGTCTCTTGGCTTTCTCAGTATCGGCTGTAGATAGTGCTCTCTTCATGATTGAAAACTTGAAATGCGTCCTTTTTCCCAAGTAAATTACTCTGTGAAACCTTGCGAGACGAACTTTCAAAAGGCCGCGTTGACTATACTTCAAACACGTGGACGGTACATACACGTGTGTACATGTACAGTATGTATGTTTACGTACGTACGTATCCATAATACACACCATGTAGTTGCAATGACAAGCGCCGGGCATTCACGCGCTCGTTTCTGTAGTAAGCCACGTTGTGAGAATTTAGTAACAATCACGCACTTAAAGCATACCGCGCAACACAACGTACTTTGATCTTGCTAAATTCTCATTACATGTATGCGCGTCAATGTCCTTATAATACTATTTAGACTCGTCACTATACAGACTCGATTCAAGTCTGCAGAACACATAACTTAAACTGGGTGAAATTGCAGTTCTGAATGTCCAAAAAGGCTCGATCGAATCATTATAGCAAGGAATAGAGGTTGAATCAGGTCCAATTTAACACTTTTGCCCAATAGAAATTAACTGGGAATTCCACAAACGGCCACTGCTCGTTTCCATAAAATGACTTGAAAAGTACAAAAAGTTGTATTAACTGATTTGTAGAAGAAACACGAAGACTGCTGATCGAAACACAATTTATCGACTTGATTTCACGTCTATTTTTTGGCAAACGGCACGTACGTACGAATGCCAATCTATCGCTGTGCACGCAGCGCTGTACTAGACTGTGTAATGATTGGGGTGTAAACGCGTTGCATCTATTGCGTGAATATAAGACAACACGTACATGTAGTTAGCAGCCGCTCAGCGTACGGTAAGTATTACAGACCGGATCATCGGAAATAAACAACAAAATACTTTTGAGTGCAAGCGTTTATTTCATACTTCTGAAAAAGACAACTCCACAAAGAATACATAAATCGCTCGGACATTTTGTCCGAGCACATCTGCATTTGGTCGGACAAACCATGAAAGTGGTCGGAAAATGTCCGATGTCCGACTGTAATTTCACGCACTGGATCTGTGTCATAGGCTGAGGTATACTGTGCCAGGAGTTGGCTGGATTCCTCGTCGATGCCTGGGATGTATGACGTGCGGCAGCCTCTTGGTATATGTTTACGAGCTATCTGTTTGACGATTTCTACGAAGGATTCGTAGTTCTTTGGGTCTGTTGGGAGGTTTGTCAGGGCACGATCAAGGCTTTCTGTGAAAGCAGGCCAGTCTGCCTTAGCAAAGTTGAACCTGCGCTTGAACGTGGTTTTGTTTGGAGTGATGACTGCAGTGAGTTGGATACCAATAGGTCGGTGTTGGGATCTTGGGATTGGCTCAGCTACAAGCTTGCGGCTGGTGGGGGCAAGCAGTCGGCTGCAGAAGACTAGATCTGGGTTGTATCGTCTCTTCCAGCGAATGCTTGCAAAAGACTTTGGGAGCTTTGGGTCGTGGATTAGCTTTAGTTCGTTGTCCTGGGCCCATGTTTCAACTAGTACTCCATCATCTCCAGTAGTGTCATAGCCCCATTGTGTGCTGTGGCTGTTGTAATCACCAATGACGATATGCCTGTTGGTGGTGGCAGAGGGGTACAAAAAGCCGATGTTTGGTGGCTTGTAGATGGATGAGATGGTTAGTCCCTTGGTGGTCACATTCAGCACTTTGATGTCGTCATTATGAGTACTCGATGTGGAGTCCGGTCTGATCTTCTCCTTGGTGAAGATAGCACTTCCATATTGGCGGTGCGGTCGTTCGATGGCAAGCTTCATACCCTTGACCTTGGGTCGTGGATTGTCACTGCCACGGTGTGTCTCTTGGAGACATAACATGTCGCAGTCGAGATTCTTGCACAGAGTTGCGAGGATTTCCTCCTTGGCGTCTGATAGGCCTTCAGCATTCCATGAAAGCACTGTCAGGGCCGGCCTTGATAAAGGCCCCTCATCGGGATGACACTGAGGTGCTGCTCCATGGTGAAGTTTCATTATGTTGATCTTGGGGACAATTATGGTATGACAATTGACATACAAAAAAATTACACTTCTCCATGGGCATGTATATTTCATAAGAATGCTTCTAATTTCAAAACTGGTAGCACTGATCCTTGTGTAACTTATAGTGTTTGATTGATGGTCCTTCATACAAGGTCAAATATAGAAATCAGGCCCTGCATAGATCTTTAAAAGATATTATACAAATCTCAATGTAACTTTTATGGAGAAATGTTAGGAATAAGATGGATCAATTGTGACTGTAATCAGAGATGCCACAGGGTCTGCTTGAAAAAAACGGAACTGGGTCTGCTTGAAAAAACCCCCGGAATGGCTGCTTGAAAAAATGGAACTTTTTTGTGTGTGAAAAAGCCACTCCGTGTCCGACACAAAGTCCCGTTGTCATCTTTATCTTGTGGGTAGCCAAGCCAAGTTCTGTTTATTTTTTAATTTTGCTTCTATGGCCTTTAAAAGCTGTTGGTTCGTTCAATCACTTTGACTTTTTCCATATTCCTAATATTTATTCTGCCTACCCGAATTTCCAACGTAATATTCGACACGAAAAGTGCATGATTCCACAACACAGTGCTGTCGGTGTACATGATCCTTGCACTACGCGCGCGATGCCCTCAACGAAAACATGGTTGGTACCCGCATTTTTTGTATTCACATATATCACTGCGATCGGAAACCACCGATAGCTGAAATGATAGATTGATTTCCAGGCTGAATGCTACGTGTGCTAAGCACACAACATGCCCGCATGCGGTGAAGCTCGCGCAAGGCGCCGTTGTATATTGCGTGCAAGTACGTTGGCCGCTTGTATCGCATGCAGGCTCGGCAACAACATACACAAAGACTGTTTTTAAGACTACTTCAACGAACAACGTTGTGCCATGCGTGTGCCTAAATGTACTAAATCCAGGTAAAAATCAACGCAGTTCCACAGTTTTTTTTCTCTTTTTCTGGTAAATTTGACGGCCAGAAAAACCGGAATTTTGTGAGATTTCTTTTAAAAACCGTAATTCCGGTTAAAACCGGAAAAGTGGCATCTCTGTGTAATATACACCTTTAGATGGTTCAGGTAAGCCTACACCAGCACAGCTGATTCACCATATTGCTGTAAACAGATCAAGGAATGATGAGAGTGAGTGTGCTGTCTTTAAAACTCAAACTTCGATCAAAACCTTTAAACTCAGATCTTGACTTTAATCAAAGCAATGATTTTGCGGAATTATGCAAAACCTACATGTAAGCATGGTACAATGTAAGTTGAGTCCATGCTGATGAAGTACAGGTATGTATGGGATGTTTGAATGTGTTAACAACATCTTACACTTTGTAATTAGGTGGAATCACTTGATTTAAGTGATAAAAATGACCCTCAATAAATTTATTTTGACAAAATTCAGAATTTACAAAAAGGGATTGAAATCAGTGATTTAAAAAAAAAAAATCATTTGATTTAAATCACGATGTAAATCAGTGGATTTAAATCAACGTGATTTAAATCAGCCAACCCTGCAATGTAGTGGGTCCACTATGGTTGCCAATGGGTTAAACCCTGTAGGACAAAATCAATTAACCCTAACCTTCCCAAATCCTCCAAAATCATCCTTGCAAAAAGGAGGATTTTGCAGGATTGAGGAATTTTACAAAAATGTGTGGCTGATTTTTGAGGCTGCGCTGTGTCTAGGTCTTAGGCCAGACCTTGTGCTGTAAATGCTCAGCCGTGCATAAATTTTGGCCTAGATTATACTTGAAATCCTCTGCACTGCTCCAAGATGTCACTGGCTCTGCCTCAACATATTGACAGTGATTGTTGAAGGATTTTGCAGGATTGAGGCTGTTTGCAATTTTTATATGAAGTCAGTTGGATGAATTTGCAGGAATGAGGGTGCATCCAAGCAAACATGCCAAGAGAGTTAGGCTTAATGATCGCCTCAAAAATTCTGGGAAGTTAATAGTAATACTAACATGATCCAGTTCTGGTACTTTCCTCTGTTAACCTCCGACCCTCTCTTGCTTTTGCTGAACTCTTTGCTATGCGCCTGGAACTACGTTCCCATTGGTTGTAGTCTGTGGACACCAGTTCAATGTTTGCCAACGGTTTCTGGAGATCAGATGGTTGCACCCCCAGGCTTGCCATTGCTCATGTGCATAGACCTGTCCAACAGTAAACAATTTGGAATTGTTATCATCAGTCAGTGTTGACCCACGTCAAGGTGACTCGGACTTGACTCGACTCACATCGACTAGACTCAGACTCACTATCACAAATTGGACAGAAAAAATGTTGCAACCTGACACCACTTCCGCGATTGTGTACAGTCTATGGAGAATCAAGAACATTTTCTTAAGTATTTCCTAACAAAATTGGAAATGTTTCTCAGTCCCAGATTCATGTATTATCATTTTTTGCAATGAATGACCTTCATAAAGATGATATGAGGAAACAAGAGGTGTCAGGTTGCAACATTTTTTTTCCCAAGTGGACTTGGCACTTACATATGAGTTGTGACTCACATTTTTTTGCATGATCGAGAGCCAAATTCTCACTTGTCTATTCACCATTACATGCAAGTTACTACTGTATTGCTAAAGAATTGCCTTTTTCTGAGGTTGATCAATATTCTTCCAGTAAGCTGGACAAAGAATCTCTTAAGATTTTATGCTGAGGTGCGTACTTCAATGGCTTCCTGAAAACCCAATCAAGAGTTTAGTTGCTGCACACCTGACCCTGACCAACAGATGTCGACAACCTTCTAGGTGTTTGTACGTGGCCGAGGGAACTAGTCTGTCAACTTCCAATACGTCAGGGAGCTAAACGACTATCCACTCGAAATAAATCATATTTTAATAGTTGTATACTAACAAATTACCTTTCAAAAAACATAAGATTGCAGTATCTTGACGCAACTTCTGTGGTTGTTTGTGCACCAAGTCTATGAAGAGTAGTATTTTTATGACAAAATTCTCAGTTCCAGATTCATGTCTTTTCAATATTTTTGCAAGACAGCACCTGCGACCGAGTAAATAGCGCTTATATCTCATGAGTGAGAGAACCCCAGCAGGGTTCAATCCCAGGTGGCGACGTTTAAAAAAAAAATTTCATCCCAAAAACGGCATAACAAGCATCAACGGTCATCAACCCAGCATCAACAAACTTTGAATAGGCTTTTGAACCTTGAAAGTATCTTCAGGTAATATAAAAGGTGACAAGGAATGCTTCCTGTGTAAAAAAATCAAGTTAAAATTGTTTAAAAGTAGTTTTATAAGTGTCAAAACTAGGACGAGTATTGGCCGCCATCTTGTTTAAGTGAAGCCTAGATTTACACACAACGCAAGGGTGGAGTGTACCATTATTAAAAGTGGGAATTCCGTGCAAACAAATTGCTTTGTTACCAACTAGGGTGTTTGTTCTTGAAAACATTTTTTTTTAACAAACATTTTATTTTTCTATACGAAAAATGCATAGGGCCCAAAAAACCCCATAATTTTTATATATTAAACTATATGTCGACAATTCCATACACCAGACTTATACCTATATAGTTAAAGGGAATGGCCCAACTAGTGCTCCACAAACAAGATTTCGGCCAAAACTAAATCGACAAACTCATACTTTTTTCACTGAAAAAGTTTTTTAAACAATTTTAACTAGCGTTGTTATGCAGAAAGCGTTTGCTTTTATAATGTCTATGGTATAATTTAACTACTTTCGATGTTCCAATGTCTATACAAAATTTGTTGACGCTGGGTTGATGCTTGTTGACGCATTTTAGTAGGACCGCGACATGGCAATGTTGGCATGGATTCCGCGAAACCAATATTTGCACGGTAAGTTTGTCTACCCCTAGAACTATGGGTCTTACACGTAAGACCCATAGGTAGGCATATCAACACCAACATGCTACATGTATATACTCTACGAATAATACACAATCAACGAGCAAAAAAGTAGAGTTGAGCTTTGAAGCGGCCGCTGTATACTTTTACCCCAAGACTATGCCAATTTCACAAGTGCATTTCGAAAGGTAAAAGGAGTAGGGAACTAGCTTGAGCTGGTTTCCGCCCATAAAAGCTGCCCTAGTTCGGACTCCCTATTATCGTTCGAAACGTACTTGTGTTTACAACCCCAAACGAGATCTAGTCTTCTCATTATCATAATCGATGCATTGCGCTCGGTAACGGAATCGCACTCAGGATACGGGGACCATCGAATGTACGCTGAGCATGAAGACCACATTGCTTCGTTCAAACATTAACACGAATCGGTAATTTAAAGAGTTCACGATCGCGAGGGAAGCTCTCGGAATTTAACGGGAAATTTCACTTTCATCCGGATCGTAAGTAAACTTCAGTACAACCATCTTAATCATCAATGTCTACTTGTACCTCAGGTGACATATCTAGGCCCCCTAGTAATTTTTAAGCAATTTTGAGGGTGAAATCCGATGTTTTTGTTGGGCAATGTTGGGTTTTTGTTAAAGGACAAAATTGTGTTGCTCGGCATATAAGGATTAGCTTGGACCCTACTATCACCAGACCATGTCCGAATGTTAAAAAGGCGATAAGTTGGGTCCAAGCTACTCGGACTACCCTCGTAATGCAATGAAGACGTCGTCCAACCTAGGTTAGGCCTAGCTTGAGTATAAACTCCAGCTGACATGCTCATATTCATTCACATGTAGCGCTGGAGACATAACCTAGTCGTGAGAGTGTGGTAGCAAGAGACCCTAAAATAATGGCCTCTCAAAAATTGTCGATTTTCACCTCTAATATCCCACCCCAGATTTCATTTACATACCTCATACATTCAGGAGTCATTCACGAAGCTAATGATCGACTTGAAACAGACCACATAAAAAACCAAATGTGAAAAATCTTGACTATATCAGTGGCTTGTCCCTAAAAAAAATGTCCAGTTCCAATGGCTGTCGTCCATTTTGTTTGGTTTATTATGTAAATGCATGCATCACGTGATGAAATCGAAAAAAATCTGCGCGCGCGATGTATGTGGGTACCACACCGCTTTCAGGCGCTGCGAGTGAGTTCAATTTTCGTCTGGTGCGTTGTTGTGGAAAGCATTCTCGTTGTCTTGCTTTCCGCGAAAATGCACCAGACAAAAACTGAACCCACTTGCGGCGCCTGAAAGCGTCAAGATTTTTCACATTTGTTTTTTTTGTGGTCTGTTTCAAGTCGATTATTAGCTTCGTGAATGACTGCTGAATGTATGAGGTATGTATTGTTGATGTACCCTAACGTGGCGCGGCCCCTAACGTGGCGCACTTAAACTTTTTGCCTGTAGCGCCTAGCTAGAGCAAAAGTTTTAATTGAAATTTCACAGAAAGTGAAATTTCATCAAGTTCTAAACACTCCCGTTCATAAATCGCGAGTTTATTTACCCGCTACAAAGTTAGAAGAAACAATTATTTTGGTGTGATTTTCCGATTTTATTTTCAAGTGCAAAGTGAACCCTTTGAAAATGCCCCAAAAAATAAGGAAATAATTTTCTGACAAACATCTGGCTGGGTATGTACGTAGAGATAATAATGATTTATCAGTATTTATCAAGTTTACAGAAATTCTTAAATGTTATTTGGAATTTTCCGAGATTTATTGAAGTGCGCCACGTTAGGGAATACTCTGCCAATTTGTGCCCAATTTCCGGATGTCACCGTTTTTTAAATTTTGGCTTAAATTTTATGAAACCGAATTGTTCACAGAGATTAAATAGCAAGCATTAATAAGGTAAAAGTACCAGTATTTCACTGCATGAAATTTGAGGTTTGTCTACAAAGAGGTTTGGCAACACTACACGAGGAAAGTTGGGTAAGCTTCGGAGTACGCCACGTTAGGGAACACGACTATAAATGAAATCTGGGGTGGGATATTACACAGTATTGAGAGTCCCAAATTTTCGGACTAGTGGGATATTAGAGGTGAAAATCGACAATTTTTGAGAGGCCATTATTTTAGGGTCTCTTGCTACCACACTCTCATGACTAGGTTATGTCTCCAGCGCTACATGTGAAAGCATGTCAGCCATTGTTAGCTGGAGTTACTCAAGCTAGGCTAGGCCTAGTGTAGCTCTACTGAGTGGAGCGTTGAACTACAGTACCCTCCGTACCTAGCCCAGGTTGGACGAAGTCTTTATTGCATTACGACTGACATCCAGGATGAGAAATCTCTACATAATACCATCGTTTCACGCCTACATACTCTATGTATCCTTATCTATTGGGCCGGCGGGTTCAGGAATTCCACATGTGATGCTAACCGACGTTAATCAGGAAAATAAACTCTAAAGCAACGTTAAACTTGTACTTTTTGTAGTCTCTTTTCATCAGTTTTTCACCGAATCGCTAGCGCCCTCCTTTGTTTCATTTTGGTTGGAACAGTGACGTCACTCCAGCTGACCGAAGTCGCGAAAACATGTTTCTGCTAACTGTCGCAAAAACACGCTCGGTCATTGGATAGAGGACCGCGCCTACAAGTTAGTGCGCATGCGTATGAGGGCGGTTACTAAGGAAGTCGCACGTGCGCACTGCACGTTCACGTTGCACGTGCACGGCCGGCCGTACGTACGCCATTTACGACTGGACTCGGTACGTGTGAGAAACCAATGAAAAGAGTCTACAAACACGTACAAGTTTAACGTTACTTTAGAGTTTATTTTCCTGATTAACGTCGGTCAGCATCGCATATGGAATTCCTGAACCCAGCGGCCCAGTAGATAAGGCTACATAGAATACTAAGACGTAAAAATTAGCTTCTGCAACATGGTAAAAATATTGAAAATCTTGGTCATAAATTCTTTTGCCCGGTTTTGAGCACTTCATACCCTGGACTCCCTCCGTAATGTCATAGGGAGGAAAGGGAGTCCACCTGGGTATACCTCCGTACCTAGCTTGAGTAACTCCAGCTGACATGCTCATATTCATTCACATGTAACGCTGGAGGCATAACCTGTTCGTTAGAATGTGGTAGCAAGAGACCCTAAAAAAATGGCCTCTCAAAAATTGTTCATTTTCACCTCTAATATCCCACCCCAGA